ACAAACCTCAATACCAGTTCTGCTGCCATCCATCCGCTGGTTTTCATTGCAATCACACCATCTTTTTTAGTATTTATAGATCTTTTAGTACATTTAATATAAAATATATATAATATATATAGTTATTTTTTTGGAGGCCCTGGGGTCCAGACCCATATACTCCATCACTAACTAATTAATTTACCTCAAAGTCATGGTGTGGGTTAGCTACGTATAAGGCATTTCATCTTCCTAGGTAATTGAATTAAAAATAGTGAAATTGGCTACTCCAAATTGAATTAAAAAATCTAATCTGAAATTTATAAAAAATATAGATTAAAATCAATTGGTGGGGAAGAGAACAAATCGGTGGCATGGGGGAAGAGAAGGAATCAGTGGGGAAGATGAAGGGTAGAGAACAAATCAAATTTGTATGAAAAGGATTAAGGGTAGAGAACAAATTCGTCCGAAGAATCCAAGGAGAGAAGAAGATGAATAAGAAAGGAGGAAGAAGAAGAGGACCAGAAGTCGGAACTTACCTACGGCTGCGCTGCTTTTGGAGAAATCAAGCTTCACTTGCAGAGGAGGAGACATTCTTGGTCGCATAACATAAACGGAAATTAGGGGTCCTTGGAAGAGAGAGAAGAGAATAGCAGATGGATCGGATGGGGCCAGGGCCGATCCTAAGAGTTTTTCGGTCTGAATCCAGCTGTAAAAAAAAGGTCCTCAAGAATTTTTGGGGAGGAAAGTTCATGTCCGGAATTCCGGAGAGGAACCGCCATCCGGACGACGACGTTTGGGCGCCTTTCCGGTGGAATTTTTTGATGAAATTATTATTTCATGTTTTTCATCAAGTCTAGTTTATCCACAAAAAATGTCAGCTAAAAATTCAATCGGGAAGGTTGTCAAATGGTGTTTTAAAGATAACTGGGCCAAAATATACACATAAAACGCAGTTAACTTCCAAAAATTATTTGACGGTTTCCCGGTTGAATTTTAAGCTGAATTTGTTTGTGGATAAACTAGACTTGATAAGGAACATGCCATAAAAATTTCATCAAAAAATTGCACAGAAAAGGCGGCCAAAGGCGGTATTTCCTGTCCGGAATTCCGGACATGAACTTTTCTCTATATAAAGGTAACTAATAAATTTTTGGGGCCCTAATTTTTTCCCCAAATTTGTGGGCCTGAGACAGTTGCCTATTTGCCTCACGTAGAGGTTCGGCCCTAGATGGGGCCACGAAGGGCATACAGGGAAGAGGAAACGTTGATTCGATTATTAAGTCCTACTAGTATTATACCGGTGCGATGCATGGAATATAATATGTTTTATTCTTTTTATGTTTTTATTTACTATTAAAAAATCAATAACATATTTTTACTTTGAAGGAAATTGAAATGTGTATGGTATGGTAAAAAAGAAACATATTTGTGTTGTTATAAATTCAAACATAAAATGTGTTAATTTCTTTTTCGAAAGGAACATAAAATCAGTTGTTGATTACATGATAATTGAACTATATGTTTCTTTTGAACTATATGTTAGAAAATAGACATATGCCTCAAATTTCATTGATAACAATTAAACACAAAAAAAATGATAAAGTACCCTTTTGCCCTATTGGTTAATTAAGGGGTATATATATATGTGTCATTTCATACTCCCTTCATTCTCTAATAACTGTTTTCTATTCCTTTTAGTTTTTTTTAATCATTTGTCTCCTTTTCCTTTTTGATAAATTTTTTCAATCAGAATACATTTATATCCCCACTTTAATTACTCTTATCCCTTTTTACATATTAGTTTCTCTTTCCTACTTTATCATTACTTTATTCTGCTTAATGTATTTTCATTCCTACTTTTTTATTTACCATACTCTCTCTATATTGTTCCTACTGTTTTCTTCTTAAAAACCACAAAAAAAAACTAAGGAGGTTATTATTTAAGAACGGAAGGAGTATATAATTAAGGGATATACCATCCTCCGTATCACATTAATTGCAACATTATAATATATACACTATTCATGTACTTTACTTTGACTACATTTTATTTATTAATGTATGTGAATTATTATTTTTTTGAAAAATAATGTTAAATTCGTCTCATTACTAACTTTTATAATCTGATTTTCATTTTAATTTTACTAATACAAAATTAAATATAATGACAGTCAAAGTTGTGTGTTGCCAAACGTGAAATGTTGACTGTTGCAACTAAAAAGAGACGGAGGAAGTATATGTTATCTAATATAGAGTATAATAGTATATAGTTTAAGAGTATATGTGTTCGCAATTTATAATGTGTGTTAATTTAGTTGTTCCAAGATGAATTTTGAAGTTATATTTACTCTCACACATTAAGTCTAAGGATACACACACAGACACACACATGAAGTATTTACTTTGTTATCTCTTTTGAAAGTGTAAATATTGTTCCGGCCTTATACGCTTGACTGCTTACCTATTACATTATTCATTCATATCTTCTACATTACAGAGTGTTCAAAACTTCTTTGATAAAAATTGAAAATATAATATAATTCTTTTTTTAATTTAAAAAATATCACTAATGCATGAGGTGTTACATCAAATCTTCTACATTACATGAATGTTCAAAACTTCATTCATAAAAATTGAAAATATAATACAATTCATTTTTGAATTTAAAAAATATCACTATTGAGGTGTTACATCAAATAAAGTAAGAATATGACGACATTAGTAGCTTAGAGAAATAAAGACGAAGGATTATGCATTAGTGATTTTTTAAAATATAAATTTCTAAATAAAAATTCAGACACTTTGTTAATAAAGCAGTCGTACAATAGGAATATCACATGATAAAAAAGGAATATCACATGAGGTTATTATTAGTTGTTCCGCAGCCAACTTTTTCTAAAATATAAATAGACATTTTTATAGATGTAAATATCATTTTTTGAGGGTGTTCTAAACTACCCAAAATTTAACAATACCAATTGGACCAAACCATTTTATTTTCAGCCCATTAAAACTATATATATGGAGACCTAATATAGTAGTTAGCCTCCCCAGTTTTTTTTTTTAAATATTCAACCTTGTGTACGCACTTTTTGTGTTTAAATAATTGGTAAGCACATGTATCAAAATAATACTTTTATTGTTTGATATTACCCACCAAAATGACATGTATGTGTGTGGGGGTGTTTTTAGAACAAAATCGTATTGAGATGCACTTTTCATGGATCTTTAATTATACGTAGTATAAATTAACTGATTTAAAACTACTTTCTTTACTACTCTTGTTAATGCCATTTTCTTTTCTTGTTTCCAAAGTAGTGTTACTAACAAAAACTCAACCCTGAAAACTTGAAACAAACCTCTATTCGTTTTTATCATCGATCTCATCGATCTGGATCAAGTCTAAACTGTCCAGATATTTGCTAATTGATCAACTGAAAAAATACTATATTTTTTGGCTCTGAAATGTTTGTTGTTTCCTAAATGGTCATGTACTTTATGGAGCCTTGTCTATTTGATATTTATTTTTATATTGTTAAAAGTTATTGTCTCACATCGGAAAGCTATAAAATAATAAAACATACGTAGTATATAAGGCTTTGGCTCATCCAGGGACGGCTTTGAGGGCAGTTGGGCCAGGGGGCTTCCGCTTTGAGGGCAGTTGGGCCCCGCCTTGGGTTCAAGCATTTCTTTTCTTAGGAACATCCAAAAAACATGATTCAAGTTTCATATGAAAGCCAACTTTAAGGGCTACAAATCATATGAAGACACCATTGTGAGAATCTGAGAGAAGCAAGGTGAAAACAGACGATGAAGTCAGACAATCTCTGTTGAGATTTCAGAATGCGACCTTCCACCATTTTATTCATATATTTTTATTGGATGATTCAAATCCAGTTTTGCAAGTTGTGTTGGATAGAAGACTTCATTAGATACAACTTTGATGAAGGACGAATAGTCAAAAATGAACTATAAAGCTGATTTCTGCTTGCAGTTGTCGCTTGGTGTATTGGCGGTCTGCGAATAACACCTAATACTAATACCGGAGTAGAATTTTTTGGAGGCCCCCTTGGTAGTTGAGGCCCAATTGATTCACCTTTTAGGATGAAACATCGGGTTTTAACATGATATCAGAGTCAAGTCCGGTTGTGGTTTGACTGTTTGTTTAACACTCATGATTAAGGGTAAGTATTTGTCCCACACCGGAAAGCTATAAAACAATAAAATATTATATAAGGCTTTGGACTGCTCCTTCCATGAGGTTGACTTTTTAGTATGAAACCTCAAGTCTTAACATATATTGTGATATATCTTTTTTAGATTATTTCCTGTATTTTTAATTTTGATGGCCTGGATCAAATATATCCGTAGAATCGTAGAAATAAAGTTAACCCTGCTGCTAATAAAAGTGATAAAACCTTATTAAAGTAATGTATAATGGTAATATCTCAACTCTTACTTGTTTAAGAAGGTAATTGTAATGGTGTTAATTGAACAAATCAAAATAGTGCATATATGAACTTGTTACTTCTTTCATGGAGTTTTGTTGGATGAATACAAAATAATATAGCACCTTCCTAAAAGTAAAGAAAATATATGACAAGGATATTGTACAAATGAATTTCATCCCAAAGTTTGTTTGAATTTGCATACCCCACATGATAAATGCTTAACTTGCTTGGCATGAATTTCTTCTTTGTTGCCCCGACCCATGCATGCGCAGAAAATTGGACCGAACACTGCAACCTCAATTAAAATCCCTTTCATGCTTGACATCATCGTACCAATTAAGCAGACTGCAAAAAATTGTAAATGATAAACTAATATCAGAAAGGATATACATATATAGTACAAAATATCTGTTAAAGTATACCGATCACCCCAAGATGAGAGCAGTTTTCCACGTGACGATTCCATTTTCATATATATAAAGATATTGGGAATAAATTAAAGTGTACTCCTATTTTAGAATTTTTCTAATGTTTTACTCCTATTTAGGTAAATTACTTATGTAATAGTGTATGCAGAATTCGGCTCCAAGGCCAGATGGGAAAAAACCAAATCAACAAGCCGTGGCTGTAACCCAGAGTGGCGACAAGGCCTCCTATTACAACTGTAAGATGAAAGGATTTCAGGACACATTTTGTGACAATGTTGGAAGACACTTCTTCAAAGACTGCTATATTGAAGGGACAGTTGATTTCGTATTTGGCGATGGCAAGTCTCTATATGTGGTATGAAACCAAATTTTACCAATCTCTTCTTTTAGGCTTTTTCATACAATTGAAAATATGATAATGATAGAAAAGGGTGAACGGATAATGACTATCATAGTGGTTTTTACACCTGTTTCATCGCATTAATTTTTTATTAAAAATTAATAAAAATTAAAAAAGATTATAAAAAGATAAAAATAAAAAAGATAAGATAAAAAAGATAATTAATTGTTTATTAATCAGATAAGACATTTTTTTTATTAAAAAGATAAGATAGTACTTTTTATGTGAATACCCCAAAAAATTGATTTTTTTTGAAAGAAAATAACTAGTCCTAGTGACCTGGTTCTGGTATATAACTGGAAGGCAGCCTTGGCTCATGCGAATGGTCTTGAGAATGGTCGGCTTCTTGTCAAAATGACAATGGATGACTTGTCCTTTATACACCTTTGTGGAAGGACACTTTCTGGGACCCTTGCATTGCCAGAATGCTAATGTGCACTAAATTGTCCCTTTAATATTTTAAAAAAAGTGAAACGTGTTGAACTTGGTCGAAGGATGAATGCCCAACCCCAAGACCCCACCCCGACCCGACAGGTTGGTGGGAAGGTTAATCACAGTGACTCAGTCAGCAAAGCGGTGGTATGCATTATACACGTGCGCACCAGAGGTCCAGCCTTATTTCAGGTTCTGTAACCTCCACACGGCCGCTGCGGGTTTCGAACCTTGGCCACTTGGTCCAATTTTCCTACCACTCGACCAACTGAGCTACCCGTGCGGGTGAAACGTGTTGAACTTTACTGTACTTACATGTTCTCTTTTGAATACATTTTCAAAATATAAATTTTGTACTTCTTTTACTAATTAATACTCTCTCCACTACAAAAAAACACCTACTTTGTCACGGATTTTGTCACGGATCGTAGTTCAAAAAATCCGTGACAAATGATTTTTGTCACGGACTTTGTCATGGACCAAATCCGTGACACCAGGGGTGTGATAACGTTTTTGTCACGGACAGTAATCCGTGAGAGAGTTTGTCACGGATTTGTCACGGCCACCGTCCGTGACAAATGCCCGAGAGCAAAAAAAGTTTTCGCCGGAGTAAAAAACCGGTCGCCGGAGTATATTTGTCACGGACCAAATCTGTGACAATTCCTTGTCACGGATTTTGTCACGGACCTATCCGTGACAACACGTTTTCGTGACAAATCCCAATATTCCGTGACAAAGCCCGTGACAACTTTGTGACAAATCCCAATATTCCGTGACAAAAATCCGTGATAAAACGCGAGTTTTTTTGGAGTGCTCCTTCCCTTAAAACTTTGTCATCTTTCCTTTTTGGGATGTCTCAAAAAGCTTTGCCACTTTCCCTTTTAATCAATTATTTTGTTGTTTCTGTTATTTCACTTTCCTTTGCACAAACCTCAATCACACAGTTTTTACTTTATTATTCTCTGTGCGGATCAACTTTGGCAAAGTTTTAGGAGACTGAGGTAGTATAAAAAATGAATATATTAATGATCAAATTTATACCTCGACAAATATAATGTTAAAAAGAAAGCTTTGTACATCAAATTGTGCTTTACACCTTGTGACTTAATTAAGTAATTATTATTGTTAGATCCAATACATACTGTCTACGTATGTGGATTTAATTGGTATTACTCCGTATATGTTAAAACTTAAGACTTTAAAATCTATTAAATTTATGTCTATCAAATTTTGCAATTCAAACAAGAAAGCAAATTCATTCCATTATATGTCCAAAAATTAGTATAGCAAATCCATAAAGATTCTAGGATGAATGTTGGCCTGTTGGGTAGTTGTTAAACTTTGAAACCCCCAGTAATTCATTAAACCAACATATTTTTTTAATGAATCTGACATATATTTAGGTCTAAAAGTTGTTTCTTTTGTTGGGGGTGGTAGAACACAGAGTTGCATGTGATAGAAGGCGACAATATGGCTGTAGTAACAGCACATGGTAGGCACACGAATGCTGAGGACACTGCATACTCTTTCGCGCATTGCAAAGTTACAGGGAAAGGGACTGGGGGCTTGCTTGGGAGAGGATGGAAGCCTTTCTCAAGGGTCATTATTTCATATACTGAAATCGGCAATTGCATCAAACCAGAGGGGTGGAGTGGCATGCGTGGAAATCCTACCAATGGAGGGTAAGTCAGATCTTGTTAATGGCTGTTTCAGGATGTTTTTACTTGGATTGGTTTGACTCCCAAACCAAAACATATCAGAATTGGACACTTACAAAATATACATGTATCACACATCTACCAGACCATATCAATTTAGACTATATCAGACTCAAACAGACTAGACCAGACTGGAAAATTTAAGTCCTATCAAAAACATCCTTAAACCCTTCTCCTTTATAAATTAGGAAGCTGAGGGTTTTCCTATAATATTACTCGAATGAAACATATGAATACAAAATATGACTAAATATACTATGCACGTAATTTCTTGGTCACTATAGTGTAAAAATAAATATAATCATAATATATAAAAGTTACTAATATATATGGTCTCTTCATGTAAGAAGTCACATCGGTGTGTATTTTCTTTATTTTAGTCATATATATGTCATTATTTTCTAAACTTTTGACTCTCCGGTACGAGTCCTATAACTTTATTCACTTGAAGATTCGTTCTTGTAATTACTCCCTATGTCCCGCTAGAAGCTTCTCGTGAACGGTTTACGATGCTTGATTGACGATAAAGCAACTTAATCCATGTTCACACTCTAATTTTTTTTAGTAAATAAAATTAACATATTCAGAAAATACATTAAGACCACTACAAAGCTTGATAAAAATGTAAATTTGGTAAAAATTTGATTTACAAAGTAAAAGATTAGAAATGATTTAAGTTGACCATGAGAATAGTGGACAAGGACCTTCTAATGAAACGGAGAGAGTAATAAATATGCACAACTTTTCTACTCGAAAATAAAAATTTTGAAAAGTGATTGCCGACAGCAAATTTTCCACATGAAAAGCGCAAATTATACCGTGCAACCGGCGCACCATGAAGATGGTGCGTCCGGTTGCAAAACGACGTAGCTTCCCTGTTTTTTTTTTTTGCTTTTGTTGTTTAAAAATGATGATAACTTTCTTATTTTTGATCCGATTTTTATAAAATTTATATCAACATTTTTTATTTTTCATGATCTTTCAAATGAGACCAATATTACTTATGTAATGTTAAGAAATTATCGAACTATTATATTAATGAGTATTGGATTATAAGGAAAATCGAATCTGTTTGGGAGATGATAGATTTGTGAAATAGGGGATTGAATCTGTTTGGGAGTGGATCAGTGGCCTCAGTTACATTTGATAATACATTGAGTTACATCTTTTTATGAACGAGTTACATCTTTTTATAAGCAAGTTACATCTTTTTATAAGCAAGTTACATCTTTTTAAAAGCGGGTTACATATATATAAACACGAGTTGCATTTGACATGCCTGAACGCGACTTACATATATTTACACGTAAAGTTACATATTTTTACACGTAAAGTTACATATTTATACACGCGAGTTACATATTTATACACACGAGTTGCATTTGACCTGTCTGAACGCGAGTTACATATTTTTTTACGTAAAGTTACATATTGTTACACGTAGAGATACATATTCATACACACGAGTTGCATTTGACCTGACTGAACGTGAGTTACATATTTTAACACGTAAAGTTACATATTTTACACGCAAATGTTAATATGTTAAAATTACATAGGCAATATTGGTCTCATTTGAAAGATCATGAAAAATAAAAAATGTTGATATAAATTTTATTAAAATCGGATCAAAAATAAAAAAGTTATTACCATTTTTTAAAAATAAAAGGAAAAAAAATATAAATCAGTATACCGGTATACGGTGCTCACTGTATACCGGTCGTACCGTATAGGCACTGCATGAAAAGTGCTTTTCGATAAAAAAAAAGTCATTACTGTGGATTAGCTCCATGAGTAGGTTTGCAAGCGAGTAAAGTTAGAGGTCTAGTAATCACATACATAAGTTATGTGTTTAAACCTATAATTAATCATTTATATCCTACGTCTATAACAATTTTGGGCACAAATAATATTCCAAATATAGATAAATTTGACATTTGTGTATCTATTTGTGTTTTATGAATGTAGGACAACTTTCTTTGGGGAATATAAGAATACTGGACCAGGATCTAATATGAAAACGAGGCCCAAGTTTGTAAGGAGGTTAACTGATCCAGAAGTTAGACCTTACCTCACACTTGGTTTCATAGAAGCATCTAAGTGGCTTCTTCCCCCTACCAAAGTCTGAAGTGTTGGACGTATATGCATGTTTGACCATCCATTTGATATGTATAGTACATGCTTTATTATTTGCCGTTATTGAGTCGGGTTCATTTTATTTATTTGATAGAGTATATGGGTCCACATCCTATGACCCACATACTCAGAATACTAATATCAAGGCAGCTGTCATATGGCTAATCCTCCATTAGCTGACTTACGGTTCAGACACAGAAACTCAAAAACCCAGATACTAAAGACCATCGCCAGAAAGCACTTGGGATCCCCTCAGTTGGACTCTCCATCGGTCAGGCCCTCCACAGAACGTCTTCGGTGGAATGCATTTTATACTTAACTCTAAATATCGTGTACTTAGCTCATTAGAGGCCTTATATTGTATCGGGCCTCTCAGGCCCAAGACCTAGGAGCTCAATCCACATTTCCTCTATAAATACTTCCCATGGGGGTAGTCGTAGGGCGTTGAGAAATACTATCATTCGTTCTGTTTTAATCGCAACATGTTGAATTTTACACTATTCACATGCTCTAATTTGACTACATTTTACGCTATTATTTTATGAAAATTATTTTTTTTAAAAAAAATATTGTTCAATTCATCTCATTACAAATTTTCAAAATCTGATTTTTAATATTTTTTACTAATAGAATTAAAATATAATTACGGTCAAAGACGTGCGTTGGCAAATGTGAAATGTTGACCGTTGCAACTAAAAAAGAACGGAGGAAGTATTAATTACAAACACTTTCTCTTTCTAGCTCTCACTTCTCTCTAGATCTATACTCTATCATTTGGTGCTCTCGTTGATAGCTAGAACAATCAAGTTAGTACCCTCCGTCACTACTAGAAAGACAAACTAATTTTATACGGGGTAATTTTTAGGACAAAAATAAATATATTCTATTTTATGTGACATATATATCTCGTATGCATGAATTAAAGAATATTATTTTTAAGATAATATCTATATTAATCAGTTATTGTGTTTATGATTATAAAAACCTTTCAAAATACTATTTTATTTTAGACCCTTGATTATACTACACTTATACATTACACAAATGTCATTATTTATAATAATAATAATAATAATAATAATAATAATAATTTAATGATATGTATGATTTGTAATCCTTAGAGCATCTTAAATGGGGATGTGAATTACACTCCTTTAAAAATGAACACATTATTAATAAAATAAAATTACTCCCTCCGTCCCGATTTGTTTTGTAAAATTTCCTTTTTTGATTGCCCCAAAATGATTTTCCACTTTCCATTTTAAGTATAGAAACATTATTTAAGTGACAACTTTGCCCTTTCTCTAATCTTTTACCCCACCCAACTGGAATGTGCTATGCTAGTTCCCATCTTCTTTCCCACCCAACCCTCATCACTGTCAGTCTCTCATCCATTAAACCATTACATACACACATCAGATAAGGATGGCACCCCATCCCTGAGATCCCCCCAACTCCGAACGGGCGATACGTTGGGAGGATGTAAATTGAACTATAATCCCAATCTGACAGATAGAGAGTGGGTCGCTGTCCCTGATACTTGCAGAGATCCTATTTAGCATAGTCACCTCTCATCGTAGTTGTCGGGATTCAAACTTAAGACCTAACCTTTGTGGCACTCCCTCGCTACCAGTTGGGCTACGCCCACCGGTATTACGTACACACATCAGTTTCACCCACCTCTCATCATCTTCCCATTCGAAGGAACATACATTTGATCTCCGCCTTTTGAAGATGAAAAAAGACACGTGTTGGAGTTAATCTTGTTGTTAATAATTTCATCATGTTTAATTTACTACCTTCATTCCTATTATAACTTCCAAATAGAGTTGGCACACAATTTAAGATAGTGAGTATTGTGTGGTGGAGAGTTGTGCAGAGGAGAGAGAAATGTGTAAGAAATGTTGTGAACCAAAAATTCTTTACCAAAAAGGGAAAGTGGAAGTTTTAATTGGAACGAGTGAAAAAAGAAAGTTGGAAGTTATAATAGGAACGGAGGGAGTAGTTTATTTTGAGTCATTGATGCATTTTAGACTAGAGTGTTAGTGCACGGCGGAATGAGTGATGTCAAGTAGTGTGTGTCGTGTGGCATCATGCATGTGTACGTTGTAGCGGCACTGATGTGTGTATGTGGTGTTGCATTAGTGTTAGTCTAATTTGGGTCAAGTTGGTCAATTAAGTTATTTACATGCATGTAAATGGTAGACATGCATGGGAGTTGTGGAGTGAATGAGTCTCATTGTGGGGCATGTGGTAACTGCACGCGTACGTGCATGGGAGGTTATTTGTTAGCTTGTTTATAAATTAAGAAAATGGGTGAATCAACATATGAGATGCTCTTGACCACCCAAAAAAAGAGAGCTACGTATGTGGAGTGTTTTTCCTCTAAGCTTTAATTACTAAAGCTACGTATGAATTTATTTTCCTAAAGCATTAAGCTACGCATGCATTTTTTTCTTCTAAGCAAACCCAACAAAACGAAGGGAATCTGACGTGGTCCATTCCTTTCTTCGTCAAACTGCTCCGGCTCCGCCCCTATGTTTCACCACTTGACAAATTCCTAGATCCGTGTGAATCATTTCCGCCGTCAAGCAAACTCGCTGATGAGTCACCTCTGCCCTCAGACAGTTCTTACACAAGTGGGGGACTTAATGGCAGACCCAGAAAGTCGGAGCCACGCGGTCTCTATCCTTATATATCTCTGATCTCTAATGAATATAAAACTAATAAAAACATTCTTGTTCAACATATGTGACTAAGCAATCATTCAATCATTGATCGCAGATCTTGTTCCCCAACTCATTCTTCACGAAATTCATTTACTAATGGCGGATCATTTGAATTAACACCCGAACTACTTTCGGTACTTTGAGTTTCTTTAAATTTGGGTACAACATCAAAATATCTTTTCATCCTAAATCGTATAAAATTGAAAATAACATTTATAAATACATGAATTTATTAATTTAATCTAACATTGAAAAAAGATATGCAAAGAAAAGCAATTAAAAGAACGACGTAGTTTTGGTATATTTAATTTAAACATAGAAATTGAAAACCCTAAGTTTTGAGCATAAAGAAAATCGCACCAAAAGCTTGAGAAATGCCATTAATGGAGAAAAGAAGAGAAGAGTACCTTGGTGGCTTGGCCGCTTGGTTGATGATGAAAAGGGAGAGACAGAGACTGATAGTGCAGAGAGGGGTGTCTTCGGCAAACGGCAGTTGGCGGACCCAATCACCACTTCGCCGGTGGTCGTCGGTCAGCCGGTGGTCGTCACCTCGTCAGCACTGCGGCGGTCGCGGTAGTAAGCGGTTGAAGGAGCCAGCGAGTTAGTCGTGCAGTCCGCAGTCGTGCTTCGCGCCTTCACAGTTGGGGGAATCGCACTCCAGCGTGAAAGGAAAAGTGGGGTTGGGTCTTTTGTTTTGGGCCTAACACTACTAAAAAACTCGGTATCGGTAGGGATTTTGGTTCGGATAAATACCCTGCCAAATTTGGCTCGACATTTGGCTCGGATAACTAATACATATAAACAGTATCCAGTTTGGAACGGGTGTATCCGTGCCAACAATTTGGCACGGAACATCCGATCCAAAACATGATCCAAAACCGTAAAAAAAACAGAAATTTTGGCTTCTCGACAATTTGATCCAAATGCCGTTCCAAATTGGCACGGATACGAATCTGATCCAACATCGTGTTGTACTTTCGGTGTTTGACTCAAATATATCCGAGCCAAAACCATCCCAACCTAACTCCATGCCAACTGGGACGACCATTTCCGTGCCAACATGAACATGCTGCATTGATGAAGATCCGTGCCAATATCCGAGGCAAAAGAGCTGTGCCAAAATCCGTGCCAACGTTTTCAATACAATTTTATTTTTAGGCTTTTGGCTCAAACGGGTTGTCCGTGCCAAAAGATAACCGTTGCGATATATCCGTGTCAAATTCCGAGCCAAAAGGTAACCGTTGTGTATTCCGGGGAAGATTTTCAAACGGTTCGATCGACGGATTTTTCCGTGCAAAAATACGTGCCAAAATAGAGCCGTTTGGTATCCAATTATATTTTCTGTGCCAAAATCCGAGCCAAATTACACCATAAATCCTTCCACATTCCTAAGCAAAAAATACATCTTCTTTTATGTATACATCTACACATGAGTTATTCTTAGTGGTGAGTTTGGGAAACAAAGGAATGTGGTCTCATTATGTGTTAGCTACGTGGAATATTTATATTTAGATTTCTTAAAAGAATTATGTTCCGGTTATAAGGTACTACCTCCGTCCCATAATTTACTTCCAAAATAAAGTGTCACGCGGATTAAGAAAGTGAGAATTGTATGGTGGAGAGTTGTGCAGAGGAGAGAGAAATGCTGTGAACCACAAATTCTTTGCCAAAAAAGGAAAGAGAAGTTCTTTTTGGGACGGACGAAAAGAGAAAGTTGGAAGTATTTTCAGGGACGGAGGGAGTATGTAATTTTATTCGTTTTATTAATAAATTTCAATAGATCAATATATATTTCATGTCTTGAATTATAATTATTGTCATTATTTGCCTTATACCAATAAAATTGGTGTGATGAGTTTTAAAAACTTACTTCCTAGCATGTACTTTTAATAAGAATAAATAAATATTTATTAACTTATTTTATATATTCAGGACCAATAAATAGAGAAAGTAGAAGTTGGATGTATAGGCGACATAAAGAAAATGATAGAGGATTGACTAAAGAGTTTACTGATGGAGTTGCTGAATTTATTAGTTTTGCACAAAGGCAAACACAATACACGGATGGAAATAAAATAAGATGTCCGTGTACAAAGTGTAAAAATGCCAAGTTTCTTGATCCTGATACCGTGGAGTGGGATTTATATACACACGGTTTTATTGATAACTATTATAATTGGACTTCTCAAGGAGAACCGATTGATACATGTCTTTTGCCACAGACCTTAGGCACATCTAACTATGTTCCTAACGAGATGGCTGGTTGGGGAAATTATGAAGAAATGACATGGGAGCAGAAAATGCTTTATGATTTCGTCAGCCCTTCAGCATTTCACAATACTCAACCAGATAATGATTTCACTTCACACAGTAATGTGAATGAGCAACCAAGTTCATCTTATTATGAGGTAGATGTGCTAGGCACTAGATTTCAAGAAGTCCTCAAAAGTGCGGATCAACCTCTGTATTATGATTGTGATGGTCATTCGTAGTTATCTGCAGTTTCTGAATTTTTGAATATAAAGGCTGAATATAATCTCCCTGAGAATTGCATGTCAAGGATACTAGACTCTATCTGTTGGCAGCATGTTACCGCGTGATCATTGTCTACCTGATACTTACTACAACATGAAAAAATTTGTCTCAGAGTTAGGTCTTCCCATGATTAAAATTCACGCTTGCCCAATGGGATGCATGTTATTTTGGAAGAACGATGAGGCATTGACCCATTGTAAGTTTTGTAATGCGGATAGGTACAAACCTATATCAGCCATGACTCGGAAACCACGCAAAAGGTCTGCGTCATCTAAGTTGATATATCTTCCTTTAGCCCCACGGTTGCAAAGGTTGTATGCCTCAAATGCCACGGCTAAACACATGACATGGCATGTGGAACATGAGACTGAAGATGGGTTAATGTGTCACCCATCAGATTCTGAGGCGTGGAAGCATTTCGATCGGTGTTATCCACAATTTGCTTTTGAGCCACGCAATGTTCGACTTGGGTTATGTGCTGATGGCTTTGCCCCGTATGGCCAATTCGGGGGACAATTCTCATGTTGGCCAATTATCATTACACCATATAATCTCCCCCCTGACATGTGTATGAAACAACATTTTATGTTTTTGTCATTAATGTGTCTAGGACCGGGTAATCCAAAAAAGAGAATTGATGTATACCTGCAACCATTGGTGGAAGAGCTCAGACAGTTATGGGATGTAGGTGTTCCCACATATGATGTTTCCAGGAATCAAATATTTAATTTGAAGGCTGCAGTTATGTGGACAATTAGTGATTTTCCAGCATATGGAATGCTTTCTGGCTGGAGCACCGCCGGTCTGATGGGGTGTCCTGTTTGTATAGAGAAGTCAAACACATTTTGGCTCAAGAATAGCCACAAGCCATGTTACTTTGATTGCCATCGAAGATTCCTTCTTCAGAACCATCCATATCGAAAGGATAAGAAATCATTTCTAAAGGGGCGCACTGAGCTTGATCCACTACCAATGAGGTTTACATGATATCAAATTTATGATCGCGTGCGCTCTATCCCTACTGCCATAGATGATCCTCTTCAGTATCCAGAGGGATATCTGATTCATCATAAATGGACGATCTTCTTATTAGGCATAACTTGGATGTCATGTATATTGAAAAAAAATATTTTTGATAACATTTTTAACACAGTGATGAACTTAAAGGGAAAAACCAAGGACGGCCTATCTTCAAGAAAAGATGTGGCATTTTATTGTGATAGACCGAAAATTGCTATGAGCCCAGATTACGAAGGTCCCTTCAAGAAAGCAGTTTACCAGGTGATCGATGAACAGAAACAAAAAATATTGGAGTGGCTTATTCAGCTACGGTTTCCTGATGGGTACACATCCAACTTCCATAGATGTGTAGACTTAGAGAAATTGTCAATGAAGAGTATGAAGAGCCACGATTGTCACGTCCTCATGCAACGATTACTTGTTGTTGGTATGAGGGAAAATGTTCCGGATAATGTATGGGCGTGCATTAGTGATGTTTGTCAATTGTTTCTGTTAATACGCTCGCCTGTATTAAGCCGAACTGCTTTGGAGGAACTTCACCGTAAAGCTCCCACTATTATGTGTAATCTAGAAAATGACTTTCCTCCATCCTTTTTTGATGTAATGGAACATTTACTAATTCATCTTCCATTTGAAGCTATGAAGGAAGGTCCTGCATTTTATCGATGGATGTACGGATGTGAGAGGTAAATTTGTTACTAATTTGATACTAATTAACACATATGCTTTTATTATTACATTTGAAAAATAAATTATGCTTTTAATTGTTAAGTATGCTTTTATTAGGTTTTTACGGGAGTTGAAAAAAAAGGTGACAAATAAAGCACACGTGGGAGCTTCTATCTGCCAAGCGTACATCACAGAAGAGGTGTCTACATTTTCCTCCTACTATTTTGAAAGAGAAGTCATGACTAAGCGAAAAAGACCTGCCAGAAATGACGATATTGATCCGGGATTGTATGACCAAATGATTTCAATCTTCAACTATCCTGGGAAAGGTTATGGTAGAAGAACGCACCGTCATGTGGTGGGAGATGAGTTCTGCATTGCACACACCTACATTTGGATTACTGTCCAGAAGTTATTCCCTTCTACAAGTATGATAATTATAAAATTACTTCATCAATTATTTCTCAATCTAACCTACATTTTGATGAACTGCCATCTTTCATTGTACTATATAGTGAGTTTAGAGAATGTTTACAAGATTATTCAAGTGAGGAGGTCGATTTGATGATCGCGAGTGATTTTGCATCATGGTTCAAAAGCGTGGTATGTCAATATACATTCTTGAATTCTAAATATTATAATTTTCACCACCCAATTTAAAATCTCACTAACATTTTCTTATTTGTAGATATTAAGTGATGATAAAAAGGGTACTGTTGATCCGTTTTTGGTTTCACTAGCATGGGGGCCTTCAACATTAGCACAATGTTGGTCTATATACTATGTGAATGGTTACAAATATCATACTCTTGCCTACGGAAACAATAAACCCACAATGAATAGCGGAGTCAGTGTCCCGACCTGCAATTATGATAATTCAGAGTCTAATTTTTTTGGATATGTGGACGAGATACTCCAGATGAAATTTCCAGATCAAAATGACTTATCCATTGTACTATTCCGATGCACTTGGGTTGATCCTGTGAGGGGTGTGATACAACATCAAAAACATAACTTAGTCGATGTTAATCATACACGAGTTTACAAGAAAAATGAGCCATTCATTTTAGCTCAACAGGCTGTCCAAGTATATTACGCGAAATATCCGACTACAAAGAAAAAATCTTCTGCGTGGGTCAGCGCATGCACAATTACACCGAGAAAAATTGTTTCTCATTCGATACATAAAAATGTTGATATTGATGTTTATCAACAAGAGTTTTTCCAACCTCCAGCTCCAGAAATTTATGCGGGACATATCGACTTGGAAGATCCAACTGACGCAGAAATAGACCATGATCCCAACGACGGCATTGACGAAATATCTCAGCATGAAGAAGACGATTGGAACTTTCAGTCGGAGGACACTGATGATGAAGAGTACATGGACAATCCTGACTCAGATCCTGACTCAGATGAATGAACATTATTATTGCCTTTTAATCTGTATTTTTATTTAATTTGTAGGTGTTGTTGTTGTATCCCATTTTAATTATTCCCTTCATTGATAAAAAACAATATTCCCTTCAAACAATAAATTAATTATGAATCCTAATTATTATTATTATTGTTGTTGTTATTATTATTATTATTACCAACAAATCAAACGATTAAAAAACCAACAAATCAACTACTAAATTCCAACATTTTATTACATTGGCAACGAACATACATCAATTACGTAAATGAGAAACATAAAGTTAAATGAAACCAACAACAAGCGAGATAAAAGACTTAATAAACTAAGCCTTTTTTACAATTTCTAACTTCAAACTTATTTGTTATCATCATCTTCACTTTGCACTTCTGCAACACTGCATTTTTCCAGTAGTTTATTTATTTTTGCCTTAGCTGCATCATTAACAGGCGCCATATACTGCAGCGTTTCTCTCAAATAATCAATTCGTTGCCCCAACAAATCCCATTTGTCGAGTTTTTTCACACATGAACTCTCAGTTTTTTTACCAGAAATATCTGTTTTTTTTTTCAGCTAAATTCTCAGACTTTTCCATTGCTTTGATAATTTTGAAACTTTAAACAATTTTTCTTTCAAATGTGTGGACAGGAATGCTCAAATTAGTTATTTATAGATAAGTTCAATAAACTTGGAACGGATTTGGGCAGGGATAACGTTGTGCCTATAGACGGAACCGCCCATAATTTGAATTTGGCACGGCCGTTTCCGTGCCTAAACCGTCGCAAATGGTCTCTGACAGTCAACGTCTGACATGTCAGAACGTTCAGACTGCTAGACAGTTTGGCACGGCTATATCCCTGCCAGAGTACAGCCAAATATTCGATTGACGACTAACAATTTGAATTTCGAGGCGTTGGCACGGAATATGGCGGCGCAAATTGTCGTGACAACACCGAAAACTGAACAACCGTTCGTTTCAAACATTGTCAAGGATATTGGTTCAAAGAATATCCGTTCCAACACCGAGAAACCATTCGAGTATTCTGGAAACCCTTTTGACTCGGTTTTTGTCGTCCCAATTCCGTGCCAAAACCGAAAATATTTAAACCTAACATCAACTCACACATCTGTACTTCACACCTCACCCATTACACCCTACTTCATCTCCGCCGCACTACACCCACCTCCGCCGCACTACACCCACCTCCTCCGCACTACACCCTCCTCCGCCGCACTACACCCTCCACCGCCACACTACACCCTCCTTTGCCACACTACACCCTCCTCCGCCACACTGCACACACTCCTCCGCCACACGTATACCCTCCTCCGTGCAAAGTTAAACGACGGCGACGACAGTTCTTCTACAGCACCCTCCTCCACCGCACGTGTGCCCGTTAATTCCAGGTCATGTGTCATTTTTTTATGTGTTATTTATTTTGGTAGTTTAAAATTTTGTTACCACAAAAAGGTTTTAGTTCTTATTTAGTTCGGTAGTTGTATTTTATTTAAAAGATTTTTTTTTGTATTTAGTTCGGTAATTTCTATCTTATTTAAAACGAAATATTTTTTATGTGTTATTTATTTCGGTAGTCTATATGCATGTGTGGACACTATGGGTTTTATAAATATTTACAGAATATTCTTTGTACTCTATCTGTATAGAAATTATATATGCATGTGTTCAAATATTCTGGATTAAATTTGTACTGTATGAAATTATATTATTGCCTTGTATGAAACTATATTATTGCCTTTTTATGTGTTATTTACTTCGGTAGTTTATGTATTTTTTAAACTACCGAATGTTTTTATTTGTTATTTATTTCGGTAGTCTATATGCATGTGTGGACACTATGGGTTTTATAAATATTTACAGAATATTCTTTGTACTCTATCTGTATAGAAATTATATATGCATGTGTTCAAATATTCTGGATTAAATTTGTACTGTATGTGTAACACCGGACCCGAATTTTACCCAGGGAATTTTTTTTTTCATCAAGTACATGGTTAAAGGAGGTAAATCAAGACTAGAGTAGGCTTGATAAGTTAGAAAGATAAAATTCTTGTCTTAAATTAATAAAAGATTATTGATCAGACGCGGGACTCATATCGGGAGCGGTGACCACCCGTGGTATTCTTAGCATATAAAAAATTTATGTTGATTTAAACAATACTATTTTGATAGTAGGAATGGGTCGTGGACCCCAGTGATATATAAAATGACAACTAGACGGCCACGTGGGTCAGGGCCACTAATCGATAATTGTGAGCTCTTAATTCTCAGACTATTAATAATTCAGAAGGCTATGAATTAATGAAAGAAGAAATATAAATATTTTAAGAATCAAAAATAATGGGTTGATAAATATATGATTAAATTGGTACATTAAAGGAGAGTACTTTTGGAGGACTCTACCTTGAAGATATTTTTGTATGAGGACAAACAGATAAGATTTTATCTGCTCATACATTTTGGACCACTTAAAAAGAAGTGTAACATTTTATTAAAGTGTCACAAAATATCAAAACACATATTGAGTCATGAGAAATGACTAATGAATTTACGAGATGGCACGTTCTCATTTTTACTGTTACTTGAACAGTAAATTGCACGTTGAGCCTACACTAGGAGCGGGGACAATCTGATATTTATGGGACCACATATTATATTCATCTTGGTCTAGATAATATATATGTGATGGTGTAAACTCATGTTGAGCCATAGAATTGGCCGGTTGACCAAACGAGGTCCCATTACCGGTATTGTGAATTTAACAGAGAATAGACCGAAATAAATTCCAGGGACCACTAAATTAAAGTGGGATAATATTTATTCATTTTAGAGTCCAATATTAATTGGAAGAATGAATTATATTGTATTTGACCCCATAAAATAAAATATAATTAAAACAGTTCGAGAAATACAACTTTCGGGGCCGAATGTACATTCGGGGACATAAAGGGATGACCTCCCACATGAGTGGGGGCCACCCCACGTTTTAGGATGCTCAAGTTGACAAATGAGGGGCTGCACATAAGGGAAATGTGGTGTATAATTCATGAGGGTGATGGTTGGTATATGGATGACAAGGGGTGGACCTCCCATCCCACCCTTATTACTCATTTGAGACAAAAAATCTCATCCCCTTTTTCCTATCAATGAGTTCGGCCAACCCATCCACAATAAGCAAGAAAAAATCTCTGCACATCATATTCCATAGCTACACTTTGAGCTCAAACAAAGGGAGGTCCAAGTAAGAAGAAAGGATGGTGGAAATGAGGAAAAAGTTATGAAATCAAGGTAACGAATTCATTAGTAGTATTTGTTGGTAGAAAATGTGTTGAGTAGAAAATTCGGCAGCAATTCAGTACAGTAAAAGTGACTTCTCCAATACAACAAGAGGGGCGGCCTATTTATAGGCGCTTACAAGAGGTTTCTTGAATACTAATGGGCTTGGCCCAATTAAACAACTAAAACAAGAAGCCTGATCCCAGGCCAATGGGCTGGTCGGGCCCAGAGTTAAACTAATCAATCCAAGGACCATATTATCTAGTCGGACCGTGTGCTGGGCCTGGTTCGCGCCCGAGCCCAGGCATATTGGGTCGATAGTATTGGACCTGGCCCATTATCCCAACACGAGTCCCCCACTCCCCTAGTCGAGTAGCAGACTCGGCTAGAAGGGAGTAGTCAAGTTGATCAACGATCGGTTCGTCTATCGGATCGGCTGGCTAGTCGCACCTCCATTGTAGCAGTCTGGGGTGCTCGTCAACGTAATCGTTGGCCCGTAGGGGGGCCATACTTTGCAGGCCTTGATCGGCCCCTTTGCTTTGCTCCCTACTGCTTGCGAAAGGACGGGGGCCTGAAATTCCAAAATACGAGCCCTGTTTTTCTGTAGCCGTATATTGACCATGCGACGGATATACATGGGCTTTAGCCGCACACCCGACCAATAAAGAACCCCGCAGTCAGGGTTGGAATCTCGTCCAAGCCTTCGCGTTTTGTCACAGAAACCCCAGGCCAGCTTCCTAAAATAACCCGGAGCTATTCCAATTAATAATTTCCTTCCTTTTTTTCTTCTTTCCATATTCTTTTAATTTCCTTGAATCTGAGTGTGGCCTAGCCTTAACACCCTCGATCATCCACGCGCAATTCAGCCATGCAGGTCCCCTCAGCTTCAGCCGTTCCAGCCGCAGCCACGGCATCGCCGCGTCGCTCCATCCCCAGTCGGCGAAGGAAACGCAGCGGCTCCCCTTCTCCGTCGCGCCGGAGGGAGGGTCATTCACGACGTTGTTCGCCGTCGCGATCTCGTAGCCCAGGCAGTCGGAAAAAACCCAGCGATTCAAAGTCATCATCGCCGCCTGTTCCAAGCCTACGCACAGGTTCTCAACACAGTTCACGACACGGAGCTCATCATAGTGCCCTCTCCACCCGTGAACGTCGTCCGTCTGTCAAACAATCCCAGAAACCTCCAGCGGGTCAAATATCATCTATGCGAGACCCCCCGGGCGAGGCGGACGCACTGCCACAGTCTGGGAACTTGGTTGCACGAGCCCATCGTGGCGAGGTGGGGAAAGAGTCCGTGCGTGGAGGCTCTGTTAAAAAAATTCAAGCCAGCGGGGTGAATGCAACGTCTCAACTCGAATTCGGGGCATCAGGGAAAAATCAAGGGGTCTCCGATAATTTTTCGATGCATGAAAAGGTCACCACCTCCTCGCGGTTGGACAGACCCGCTACGCGGATTGTGATCGTTAAGGGACATCTCCGGCCTGCTCCGGGGGGGCCACATGACCAGTCTGTGCCATCCTCCAACAACGTCACCCCTGTAGTGGACATTGCCTCACAGTCGGATAGCTCCCCCAAATCAAATGGCGAATCGGATAGCGTCGAAGATCCTAACGCTTGGAGGGAACGTTTGCGTTCCACCAGTACGGAGGCAGATTTGAAGTTGGCGAAAAGTTTGGTCGATAGCAATTGCACCCTCATGTTGCCAGATCCCGAGAGTAGCCTCACCAGCCCTCCTCCAGATTCGTTCTTCGGGGTTCACATTGCATCTATCGCGCGGGGCATGCGGGTGCCTTTATGTCCATTCTTGGTGGCACTCCTTGCCCATATCGGGGTATCGCCGTGCCAG